TAGAAAGGTGCGATTCAGATCTCTTGTATCATATGGAAATATCAGGAAGAATAACCGAAACTAGATGGAATATGGTCAGTAGTCCCTTTCACTAATAGAATGAATGAAACATGGGAGATTTCCTGCGGAAACTGATGCTGAACGCAGTTGTGAAGATATACAAACGAAAGGAAGTGAAAAGCAGATAAGAGAAATTCACTTTTATCTACTGCAATTGTGAATTCAGATGTGCAAAGCACGATTCAATCGACGATCAACGTTATGGAATCACAAACGAATACACTCGGATGATAAGCCGTTTGAGTGCAATGTTTGTCGAATGACGTTCAAGTGGAAGAACTCGTTGAAGTGTCACAAAGAGATGCATCAACGCAAGAACGAGATCACTGGCTTCGAAAATGATCCGAACGAAAAGACGCTCACCTACGCTACAGCTGCGAAACGCCGACATGTCAGTGAATTCATGAATTTTATTCAAAATTTCAAAGCATTTTGTGTGGCGACTACCTAGAACTAGTTGTATCCTTCTCATATCCTTCTTATACTTCTNGAGATCAAGACAATGAATGCTCACTGTTGTCATGTCTAACTTTGCAGAAATGAATGCCTAATGTGAGCCGTCAACATCTGAGCAAACTTTCCAACGTTTTCGTAAACTCTCTAAAATTCGTTTTATCTGAAATGAGTGATTGTTTCAGTTAGAGGCTCATGAGCTTGGTGGCACAGCAACGTCGAGTACGGAATCGCTGCAGAACGGCGGGCCGTTGATAACGACCACAACGTGTTCACTGAAGAAACGTGCCACGAAGTCGGCGCATAGCCGAACTGCCCCACCAACACCTCAGATCAACTCGATCATTCATAACAATTCTTTATCTGCAGTTGACGGCTTCATCCATCCACCTTTACAGGCCGTAAGCTTCAATAATCATCTAAATATTTCCAATAAAAATTCTACCATACCAATCACAATAGATCATGATTTCATATAATCATACAATCAATCAATCATATGATCTTTCGAGCGATCAATAAATGTGCCGGATGTTTCAGGATGGCTTCTTTGGTAGTCAGAAAGCACTGTCGATAGGTGACCATAAGGAACTGGATTCGTTATTGAACAGTACCACTCGATTGTCGACAATGCTCAAGGACGATACAATGTTCAAACCGAATATTTGGTTCGTTTGCTGAAGATTTACTTTCTGCATTACTGAGACCTCAACCAAATCAAATGATTTACAAAAAACTGCACATCAAGATTATCCAGATTTATCCATTATGCTAAGGATGCATTAGTAACATGCTTGACAATCCGTCAACATGTCGTTGTTTCAAGTAAGGTTCAAGATCTTATCTGTGATGTTGTTTCAGTGATGATCTCAGCAGCTTCGGTGGTGCGAACGTGTTCGATGCAAAGCAAGAAATGAGCGTAAGTATTTCCCCGCATTATATTCTCAGAAATTAATCTGACTCACCGCTTTCTTGCTGGAATTGTTCTGAGCATATTCGATTATTCATACAGTCAAATGCGGAAACGCAATTGTTCTCTCCCAATTATTCGGTTAAATACTTTAAAATTATCGCTGCCATCTTGAAATGAAGTCAAGGTTCGAATCGTCGCTTTTTGCTAGAAAAGGACTATTTAAATTCACTCACAATCAGCAAAGTTCGAGTAACATGAATAATAGAGCAATTGCTCCAGTTCTGTGGTGATCACCTTTCAAAATCATTAGTTTGAAAGGAATAGATGAAATGTAGCAATTGAAAATCAAGAAACTAGCATATTCTGCTGTGTTTCGCAACAAATGATAATCCAAATCACTAATTCAAATTTCTTCAGCTGTTCCATACAAATCCATTCATGGTATTCGGGACGCATCAACTGGTAACCAATCAATTTTCAGTTTGTTGATTTCTTTTTGTTTTTGCTTTTGTTCTGATCTAAAATGTTATTTTTTGTACATTTCCTCATTAGGCCTTCGTGTATCGATGCAAATTTTTGCTCATTACATTCCTAAAAGCAATTCGTTGAGGCACGATCATATGCTCATCATTCGTAGACATTAAACCAACTATTTGAGTCTCTCTTCCACAAATGTTTATGATTTTTATTGCTGGGCCAAATCTTTGGCCAATGAAAATGGTTTTCTGACTATCTTTCCGCCACAGCCAAATGCAGCAGATGATGATATCTGATAACATTCAGTACATGAGTCTTATTGTCTGTCCTGAGCACATTCACAATCATTTCTTTCATGGTGGCTCGTAACAAAGCACGTATTTCAGCAACCGAGTATGCAGAATTTCGCCCCTGCCAGCTTGCAGTTACCGAATTCGAACGCGAGCTGTGGTGATTATTTTGGAACGCACGCAACGAATCAGTCCGATCAGCTGTCCTTAACCCAACCACAACAACCGATCGCAGTTCAGCCAACGGCGCCACAGCCCTATCACACGATCACATCCACTCAAAACGATATGATCATGAACCCGAATGTCATCACTTATCAACCTCGTGTAAGTTTTTCATTCTTGCATCGCTTTGAAACTGACTTCAAACGAGACTTACAATCGTAATGACTGATCATTCTCGATTAACTTTGCTTGAATGTTGATCTATTCGATATCTTTCGTCGTTCATGTGGTTCTGGCACACAAATACCGCAGAACTCATGCCTCATACATGAACACATCTATATCCACAATTCATATAAGGGATGGATTCGAGGGAAATTTCATGATGGTGAAATCCGACCGATATGACTTTTCATCATTCCGTCAGTCGGAATTCCGATCGACATTGTCGAATTTTTTCCGGCTGACCACCGGTCGGATTCACATGCAATCAGTAATTCATATGCATTCTTGATTCTACAACAATATTCTCTTCTGATCTTTAGCCACAAATCATTTCGTTGCTTAGAACTCGAAATTTCAGGCTGACACTCCATCGTTGATAGCGCCAACGATTGACTATTCAATAACTCCGACGAATCTCGACTATATGATCGGAAATTATCCGCAAGCAACTCTACAAAACGGTACCCTATTGGATGTGCGCAACGGAAACGAGCATATTCAGTATCCTCAAGCCCAGCAGAGCCAACAGCAAGCCCAACAACAACAACAGCAGCAGCAACAGCCCACCCAACCTCATTCCACATCGCAACAATCCGAGACAATCCGAGCGAGTGAACGGGCTGATGATGGAAAAGAAGTACCGCAAGTGTCATGGTGATTCGCTGGGGAGGTTGCTTGTTTAGGTATTTTACAGTGATTAGAGCAAGTTCGTATTTATTATATTTACTATTTATCATTTGTTTGTTGTTGATGTTGTTCGTTAATCGCATGTTGTACATAAATGTGAGTTGATTTTTTTGAATAGTCAGTGAAAAATGTGTTTTCGCGATGGTCAAACTGAATGTCAAGCAAAGGAGAACGGAATGATGACAGCTGAGAAAGTATTCGGTCATATTTGCTCTAAATTGATGGAAGTGTTCAGCGAAATCTTCTGAATGATTTTGACTTTACAATACAGATTTTGACTTTTTGACTTTTTTTGAGCATATGATGAAAACTCGATGAATTCTGGCTCCGTGTCGAAATTCTCAAGACTGTTGCGTCGTCTCATCACTTTGAGAAATTTAATCTCCTAGAAATTTCAGTAAAAATTGAGAATTTCTATTCCAGTCATTATCTCCAGTGTACAAATT